GCGACGACCGATTTCAACGAAAGTCATTCCGTCAGTGGAGTACGCAGTTGCACGGCATGTTTGCCAATGTACAGATCTGTGGAGGAACTTTTAACTTCAACATCAACCGTGTATCGTAGTCGCCCAGTTTAAGTTCTGGTTCTGTCGTGGTCCCAACTAAAGGGCGACAGTCGTCGTGTCGCGTCCTGTTCGATATGGGACTCACAGCGACGTATACAACGCGTGTAAAATACATTGTTTATTTACATGAAATTCGAACACGCGCTGTGCTACGACCACCGCGCTTAAACATCCACGAGTTATTTATTCGGACAATGACTTAAATTAGACGTCTGATTATTTTATTTTCACACGTACAGCGACACGCGTTCTACACTGACAAGCGTTGCTAGGTCGCAGCAATGTCTTGGAGCATATTAATGGGCAATTGGGTTCCCCGATCTAAATTTCTATCCCGGTTTGTTGCACGTTCTTTTTTTAATATGAAATAATCAAATATGGGACATGTGTATAATAACAGAACCCCACACCCTCCCCGTGGCTTCGCTCGTGAAAGTACGGCAGCAGGATACACCGCATCACTCGTGAAAATAACTTCCATACGCAATGAAAGCCACGGGGAGGGTATCTGTCATAATACTTCATTATCACTGAAAACATTTTTCCCCTGAAATAAATTCCAGTGAATATGCCATTTCCCTCATACTATATTGAGACACAGCGCAGTGAAAATTAGATTCACATGTAATGCTTGAAAACATGTCAGCAAAAATAAATTAAGTGAAATTCTACGTGACTTCATAATAGTTGGAAATGAACACATTACACCCGACCCTACCACTCCATATACAATGTAAACTACACCCCAAAACATCTTTCACCCACAGTTACTACCGTGTTTCACCAGTGTATTCTATTTGACGTCAGGAGAAATTGAAATAAGCAAATTAATTATAATTTCAGCCTCTAGTTGACCACTGATTAAATAAACTACCTCGTCTTTATGTCAACTTGCAGTTATTCGTTGCCTACACCAGTGACTTCAAAATATATGTTTCAATCCCAGGAATTTCACTCGCTGTTAATTGCATGGGAGTGGCAGTCTTTAATGAATTTCTATTGTCATGTCAATTTCTTGCAATTACTGAACATTAAGATGTAACCACATACCGCCTAGGTGCTCTAATTAAATCCTGGTGTAAGCACCATATGAACTATGAACAATGCATGTGAAGCCAGCTGTGGGGTATATTCAATCCTATAGATTTCTCATTGTTTGGTAACTATTTGCTGCAAATGCAACAAAAATCAATATGAAAAATATTACCCACACAGTATTCTACAGGTTACTTGTCTTGAACAGTAATTTCCGTTGATCGTAATGGTGAAATACACTGTCTTTATTAAATCGACACGACAAGCACCCCATCAACACAATTCACACGAATCATTTTAAGTACACAAGTTGTAAAGTGCTATAAAACGGCAAGAATATATCCCAGATCGCAGACACAGGAATCTCTTGAGAAAGTTATTACAATGCATTTACTGTTTGTTTTGTAGATTGGTAGAGGAAGACATGTTCGTGGAACTCGAGGTAAAACCGAGTATGGTACGATATACAAACCAAGTAGAGGAGGACTGTGAGAGGTATGGGCGCGTGACTGTTACTGTAAATATTCAACATGTATTTGTGTTTGCTTAGTTCTGTATACTGATGAACACATTAAAACATGTCACGGTGATTTAATAAGAACTAAAACTTCGCTTTTGTATACTCAAAAAATTCGCTAAGATCATAGAGTAGACTATTAAATAAGGCATTTTGAAATAGCTGATTGCATGTGGACGCCAATTATAACATATTCTCATCTATTCTGTTTTGCAGAATCGAGAAGTGGCTGGAAGACGAGAAAAGACAAAAGCGTAAACTCGAGCACGCGCTGAAACCTTTAAGTTTCAAAACCGGACGTGACGTCAGTGAATTACTCAACCTATGCATGCATCAGTCCGTAACACCCGCATCCACTGACATCATGGCATCGTCAGCTGCTTCCCTTCATAAACTACTCAACAGTGGCAAAGGAAAGGGGCTGGCGAGCGTGAATGAGGATGACGAGCCAGAGCTGACACATGGGGGCGCTGTCACACGAACGCTTGAAAGAAAAGCATATCGCCCAACACAAGATTATGCCATTGAAGTGCCCGACAAAAACAGCTATGGTAATGACGTTGATTATACCAGGCGAACGACAGTGAAAATCACGGATGAGAATGACAACGAAAAAGAGAATGAAATGGAAGGAGTGCTTTCTTCTCCGACGAAATCAAAAGTGACGAAAAGTCGACTTCCTGTTCCGGTGAAGCGAAACCCAAAGCACTTAAAGGGAAACGGCGATAAAAGTAAAAACGGCGATGGACAAAAAGATAGCAAAAGTAAAAAGAAGGAAGGGCCCACAAAACAAAGTGTAGCAACTAGAAAAAAGGCGCCCACAAAAAACGTTGCAAAGAAACCAATAGTGAAACCTCCGCCACCCGCAAACACTGTAAAAAACAATGACTCTAAAAAACAATCGCAACTAGTGAAGCCTCCGCCGCCTCCAGGAAAGAAACAACCAGGAGTCGAATTACCGTGGTATCGGCGGAAAAATGTCTTCCAGAGGAACAATAACGGAAACGACGATGACGTCATAAACAGTCGAGAAAATTTGGAACATATGTACCGAAATGCAGCAGCCCGACAAAATGCTCCTCCTGTGCCAGACGGTGTGAGTGGTCGAAATCTGAGACTACAGCGGAGAGAGACGTCTAAAAAAGATCGTACTACAGGGTTGGGTTATTTGTAGAACGAAAGCATGTATACTTTTAACGCGTGGTGGCGCCATTCATGACGCGAATTAAAACTCGCTCAGGCAGCGACACGAATCCCGAAACCCTTAAGACATATTTTATTTCATACAATTATGCAGTTCAACATTTTAAAAAAATGTTTTTTTTTAATTTATATATTGCTCACACAATGTATATGCACAGACGTCTGGGTGTTTTTTATGTTACGGTCACGGCATTTGCGGGGCCGGGGACAACTTGATAATTTATTTCAAACTTCCGCTTCATAGATATCCTATACCAATGTTATCAGTATATTATTTATAAGTATCGTTCTTTTGTCGCAACATCAAATTCTACGAGTAACTTACAGTGACCGTATTTCAATGAATTGCGCCCTCTGCATACGAGTCTTCAAACTTGGGCAGCTACTCGACAAAGACAAATGAGATTTTAATTCACATTGAGCGACCCCATACGCGGTGGTCCTCCAAATAACATTGGAAGAAATTCAGGGTATGTAAAATTGTTATAATATTTACATTAACACATATTGTCAACTATAAGCAACGATGGTAATCAGTATCATTGATTCAACATTAAGGGTTAAGTCAGTACAACACATTGTGAATTCTGTTGTGAATATATTACAAGGTAATAAATTACATAATTTTGATATATTGTATCTCAATGTGTGGTTTTAATATAAAGTGTAAAATATATATTGCATTTTATCTGTGAACATGTAATTCACATCGTTACATAACATGCCTTACTATTTTAGGCCACTTTGTCCGACTGACTACATTTTTTTTTATGGTTTTATCATGCTCATTTGTGCTTTGATTCAGTTCAGTTCAGTTCAGGACGACATATTTCGTGGTATAGCGGTTAAAACGCATGTTTTACAGACGACCCGAGAAAGACCCTCAGTGAAACAAAATCACGATTTCCAGTTCATTTATATAATATTTTAAGCCACTTTGATGAGACAAGGTAACTTCATTTGGCCCACGCTATAGCGGCGGTTATCACGCCGAAGGGCGCGAGTTGAAAGTAAAAATTGATTGGTGTAATACATTTTATTTTTTGAAGCCAATTTGCAAGATGAGAAAAACATTGTTCGTGATAGCTGTTTCTTTGTAACAGTTTTTATAATGATTTTAATCCAGTTTGTGAAACCAATAGCAGCAGTTTCTTAATTTCCGATTCAAATTTCATTTTTTAAGCAGCTATATGAATTTTTTATTATTATTATGGTTTTATTTCAGACATAGTCCATATATAAAGAAAAAGATACAAACAAATATGTAATAAAATAAAATGACAAACCATACAGATTTGAAAACTATACTAAACTCAGTAGACTACTTGTGTCCAATGCTGCACTAAGGTAGACTTCCATCTCACATCACTATTGAGCAAGGCACACACAA